AAAAAGTGGATGGGAGGACGTTACTATCTACCAGGCAGGGCAGTTGTGAGGATTAAGCATGTCACCAAAAACAGAGATGGGTCTTATCGGCATTTCTGTTCCTTGTCTTAGCCCAGCCCTGGCCCAGAGCACTCAGAGCTGTCCCTTGGCAGGGGCTGGAACATGGAACTCTGGACCAGACACTACCTCAAGAGGCACCAGGAGGAACTGAGTGGCAGATCTTCTGCAGGGGCCTGAGAGGGCAGGTTCAGAGCCAATCCAGAGAGTTAAGGACTGGGGAACATGCTAAGGAATGCCTCTGCGGACAGCACTGCTCCATCCCCTTCTCTCTTCCAGATAGTACCTTTGCCTCTGGGGAGAAATCAGAAGCTGTGGCTGGAGAAGGTGGATCAGCTGTCTGGAGAGACAGCAGGAAGGGCCTGGCAGAGGGCCTGGCAGAGGAAGCCAATGGCCCCATGGGACAGCTGAAGCTGCAGGGTTTTCGTATGGTTGCTCCAGCTTAGGGACCCATCCTGGGCGTGGACCCAGGAAGGCAACAGCCTGGCACCAGGGTGGGGGGCTTTGGGTCTCCTTAAACAAGACCTCTTTCTCTAAACGGATTCAAGCTGACACCAAAGGCTGCCGCTGTGCCTCTGACGTTCTATTTTTAAATAAAACTTAGGCTCCAAAAAGAAGCGGATGTTTGTCTAATCCAAATTAGTACCCAGCCAAAACCGAGGCAACAGACACTTGAGAGCGAGCCGGCTCTCTGAGTGACCGGGAACCGTTTCCATCTTGTTGACAAACACATGTTGCAAGACAGGAAATTACCCTCCTTGGTGCCTATTTTATTTCTGTTTAATTGCTGTTTGATAATAAATTACAACATGGAATCCATTAATTAAGCTAACAATGTCCACGGAACACCAATTCCTTCTGCTGGGAGTTGCCTGGTTATAGGAGCTCTGATTCCGGCGCTGCTCGCCCACAGCACTCGCAGAGCAGTTTAAAGAGATGCCGGTTGATCAGGAGACAGGACTCCTTGCTTAGGGGGAGTGGGATCGGGGAGGGGGGAGCCTTGATGAACAAGTGGAGGGACCGCCTGGCAGCTGAAGAGCCGAGCCGAGGGTGCTATCTAATTCAGAACACGTGGAAGGACAGAAAGCAACATTAGGTTGACTTAAAAAAAAAATCAGCTGACAGAAAGCAACCAGGGCCCACTTGTAGCTTATAGGTGTTCATCCCAGAGCCGGGGCGGGCCACGAGCAGCCTAATCTGGCTTGTTGTTCCATAATCAACTAAATGACAGGAGTGTGCATTTGGAAAAATTCCACACGCAGATGGAACTGGGGAAAGATGAATTCCAGCTATTTCCTAGCAAATGCCTCGGTACTGCGCTATGAATGCCACCAAGCTCCCAACAGAAAGGGAGACTTGATGCCTAACTCCTGCCTGGGGAGGGAGTCAGCAGGTGGTCACCTTCAGAGTGAAAGATGTCATTAAATGTCAACCCTGTTGTCTGGGGTGGGAGGCTGGTTTGAGTCATGCAGGCACGCCTGCCAGATCTGTTTAGTGAGTGGTCACTGGGCAGGACCCTGAGGGAAGGAATAAAGGCTCTGAAGAGAGGGATAAGGAAGGTCAAATTGACAGAGCACCGTACCAGGCTGTGTATGGGTGTGTGGGCATCACAAGGGCCTTAGAGAGTATTCTGGGTAGCCAGGGCAGACAGGGAGGGTAGAGTGCTGGAAAGGGGGGGCCACAGGGCCACAGAAGGCAGACACAGCTGCCCCAACATCCCGGTCCTCAAGTTCAGCCAGAGTTTTCTAGGAGACTTAGTAAAGCTTTCCCAGAAACATCCAAAGCAAAATGTGACGGCCAAGCACCACAAGGGGAAGCTCTCACGTCTCTGGAAGACTTTGCTAGACCATCTTCATTCCCTTTCTCATTCACAGGAGGAGTTGGCTTCCTCAGGCCAGCTTTTGATAATGCCAGTATTTAAATGGCATAGCCTCTATTATGCCACGATTAATAAGTACTCAGCTCAAATGTTACTTATTCAGAAGAATGGAAAAAGAAACCCGAGAGTTAAATGTTCCTAACAATGACTCCTGAAACATCCCAAAAGGGTGGTCAGGCATAGCCATGTGGCTCAGGAGTGGAACCCCCCAGGCTCAGCATCCGGGCTCTTGCTGCCTGGGCCAGAGGCTGTGGGCATCCTAAGAAGATGGTGTGGGTGTATGCTGGACCTCGCCTCTCACCCTCTGTGTGCCCTCTTCAGGTCCCTGGTCCAGTACCATCCATCTCCCAGTTATCTTGGCCCACAACTAGCTAGGGTGAACTGCTAGCTTTTCATCTGGTCTATTCCAAGACACAGCCTCTTAGTCCTTCCAGGCCTGGCTGTAGCCCATCTAAACATACCATCCTCCTAGCGTGAGCCCTCCAATGACTTCCCAGCATCCTCTCAATCAAGTCCCAACTCCTCAGAACAGCAGCATCAGCATCACCCAGAAACTTGTTAGACATGCAAAATCTCAGGCCCTGCCCCAGATCTCCTGATCCAGAAACTAGGGGATGAGGCCCAGAAGCCGGTATTTCACAAGACTTGCGGGTGATTCCTGCTGCACAAAGCAGTGTGCAGGCCAGAGTCTCGGTGTGCTCCCCCACATCAGGCTTCTCTTCTGCCTTCTCTCTCAATATCCTTTCTCTCCTGCATTCAAAGCCCCAGCCAAAACTGGGTCACCTCCTACCTCCCAGTACCCTGGGCTACATGCACTACGATACTGTTGGTCTTCTGCCTCTTTATGTGTTTCTCCACTTGAGAGCAGGGACTGTATCTTATCAACCGCCTGTGTACAGCTATGACTAGCGTCTAGGTGATCAAGACGTATTTGTTGAGTGAATGAATGTAGGAATGGATGAAGATGTGCAGTGGATTCTTTAGTCCACATTGCCTTTAATGCTAACTCGTGTTTTCCCATGGGCAGCTTTCAGAGACAGGGACAGGTCCAGGCTTCCCATCATTCTCCTGCTCCCCATAGGCACCTTTAGCCAAATGTAGGTGGTGGTGGGCTCAAAAATAATTTTAATTCAAACGGACTGGACATGAACTTAAAATGCTTTGGTTGTGCTAGAAGGTCTGAGTTCTAGGTTGCTTTGCTCACAGGCACTTGCCCCTCTGTGCCTCAGTTTCCTCATGCTGCCTGCCTATCTTCCAGAGTTCCTGTAAGAATTAAAGAATTTTAACACTTTTCCCTGCCTTTTTCACCAATTTTTCAGTCTTTGATAGTATTATCTGTGATTTTAGACCTAAACATTTTTAATACAGTCATACTTCAGTATTTGAGGGGGATTTGATCCCATGATCCCCCATGAATACTAAAATCTGAGGATGTTCAAGTCCCTGATATAAAAGGGTGTAGTATTTGCATATAAGCTGCACATCTACTTTCTATTTTTCTTCTTTTTTTTTTAGTTGGAGTCTCACTCTGTCACCCAGGCTGGAGGTCATTGGCATGTTCTCGACCACCAGTCTCGACTTGCTGGGCTCAGGCGATCCTTCCCCCTCAGCCTTCCAAGTAGCTGGAACTACAGGCACATGCTAACATGCCCGGCTAATTTTTTTTTTAATTGTAGAGATGAGGTCTCACCAAGTTGCCCAGGTGAGTCCCAAACACGCAGGCTCAGACAATCCACTCACCTCAGCCTCCCAAAGGCGCGGGATTACGGGCTGAGCCACTGAGCCCGGCTCATTTTATATCTTCTTTATGAAAAACTTTTAAATTAAACTCAGTACGGTGACAGAATTTACCATTTTTCAGACAACTGTATTTTTAATACTCATTCCTACTTGTTCTTTTATCCACAGCCAGACCTGTCTGACATCACCCTACCTTTGGTGGGAGGCAGAGGGTCTGGACTCTGAGAACTACTTACAATGATGGCAAAGGGCATATGGCTCTCTCTTTTCAAGAGCTGGTCTCATAGGTAAGCAAAGCTGCTACATGCAGAGAAGATCCATGAGCCTTTATGTGTACACGCATGGGTGTGTGTGTATGATGAATGGGACTTTGCCTGTGAATGTGTGTCTTCACAGAACAGGAGAGAAAAAGAGGGAGTTTACAGGGGTCTTGTCCAGTGCTTTCCTCTTATGCATGAGCAAACAGATCCAGAGAAAATCTGTGAGCCTGACTTGGAACCCACCGTCCAGTAACCCTCTGTAATTGAAATGTTTTCCCAATTTGTGGTTTGCCTTTTGTTACTACTGGTTGACATATGTTTTACATTTTTATGAATGTCAAGTCTAGTGACATTTTTGGATGCATTTTCTCCCAGTCTTAGAGGGTTTCTGGTAAGCTCTTTGTGTACAAACTCTCTCTCTCTCTCTCTCTCTCTCTCTCTCTCTCTCTCTCTCTCTCTCTCTCTCTGCTGGCTACCACAAAGCCGTCAAAGGAAATTCATTTATCAGGGCTCTGTTTTCACTTGTTGGTTAATCGCTTTGCCCTTTTTAAATTATCTGGTGTGTTCTCTGAAATGCTCCTACAAACACTCTCTCCCTTCCCCATCAGCACGTTGCTCTCAAACCAGCATTTGGGGTCTGGGTCATACTTACCATGGAACTAATGATGCTCCTTCAGGATGGATGTGTCAATCACGTTCTCACGAGGGAAGTCTGCTATTTCTTCCAAGTCATAAGCAGGTAGATTTGGTTATAATGACAACATATGCACATACGGTACATATTTGCATATTAGCAAATGACTGTGACTTACCCATCTTTTCCTGTCAATATGAAACCTGCACAGTGATCCTCTTAGTATCTGTGCTGATGCAACAACTACTTGTGAATCTTTCCCCTAGTTTTTCCAGAGAAACAACCAGAAGGCTTCCACCTTCTCCTGAAAGTCCCAGAATAGATAACAACTACCAAGCAGAGGACAAAAGACGCATCCTGAAGTCTCACAGGGACTCTGTGGTCTGGTGATGTGATTTTACTCCCTTCCCAATCAGAGACGAGCTCCTACCTGCGGTCCCCAGCCGTGGCATGGGTACAATATTGCTGTGTGGTTCTCCAGCGGCCCCTGGTCCAAACAGACATCTTTTGCCTTGTTGTTGCGAAGCTGAAAGAATAGACAAAACATTACCCATCAGAGCTCATCTAGTGGAGATGCTGATTTTCAGTCGCCATTCTCCCATGCCTTGCTTCTGACTGCATGATGGGAAGGTCACGTGACTGACCAAATAGAGATCAAAGGCTCAAGTCTGTGAAATGATCACCTCAGCAAGAAAGACAAAGTCCTCCAGTGGGTGATGAGGGCACTGGCCCTCTGATTGTGTCCTGGCAGCCTGCACCCCCTCCCCCTCCCCTCAGAGAGCCTTTATCCTAGATCCTAGGAGGATCTTGAAGAACTTCTGGACATAGAAACATCGGTTACTCAGATCTTAGGTTTACAGGCACCTCAGAGAGGGGTCAGACGGGGGACTGAGATAGTCGTCAAAGCCCAAGTGGGCCTTGGCCCCAACATGGGTTTTAATAACCCACGGAATGACAAGTTAGCTTCTCAGCTCACTATTTGCATAGAGACATGAAAACAGCAATCAAAAAAGCAAACTAAAACCTTGCCACCAGAAAAAGCCCTAGCAACATCAATTTATCTGTGCAAATATATCTACTGAATGCCTGTCCTGTGGCAGGCACCATTGTGGGGGCTTACAATGTATCCATGGAGGAAATGGACAAGACAACAGCCCTGAATCCACACATGCGCTTTGGGAGTGGGTAAGAACCAATCTTATTTGGACCTTGAGGTCCATTCTAATTCTATATTGGTATCCATCCCTCCCACCACGCAAGGGGCTCAGTGGGGTGGGGGGGGGGGGGGGGGGGGTGGTGGAGCAATGTTATTAGTCTTCATATATAAATATATTCCTTCCCCTCCAGACTATATTCTCCATAGAAACCAAATTAACCAGGGATAAATGAGAGTGGCAAGGGGGCATGCTGTTATTTGTGAACCCTAATCGTGACTGGCTCAGACAAACGAGCAGGTTTTTAATGATTTTTAAATCTTTTTTAAGATTTTAAAAATAACGCTACCTCATTGAGACATTTTGGAAAATAACAATTGTTCACAAAACTTTCACGCAATCAGTTAATGTTTTCCCTCAATTTTTAGATTTTGGCTTTGCTCAGTTTGGCTGTTTTGAGCAACTCTATGCCAAAGTTTTGTCCACATTTCAGATGTTCTTAAGAACAAGATTCTAGAACTGGGATTGCAGTATCAAAGGGTCTGAACACCTTGGGGTACTTAAAACAAGCTGCCAACTATCACCCAGAAGCTTTGAACTAATTCATACTTCTATCCACATGGTACTTATCAGAACTGAGTTTCACTATTTAAAAATACTATTGTTTTGAGAGGTAAAAAAAGATATCTTGTTTTTATAAATTTACTATTTATGGTAAGTTGGAATGTTTTATATTTAATAATCATTTCCCTTTTTGAGAATTGTCTGTTTATTGTCTGAAATCTTAAGCGGTTTTATTATAGATTTGTAAGAGTTCTTTATTTATTTATTTACTTTTGGATACAGGTCTCACTGTCACCCAGGCTGGAGTGCAGTGATACAATCATAGCTCATAGCAGCCTCAAATTCCTTGGCTCAAGCAATCCTTCAGCCTTAGCCTCCTCAGTAGGTAGGATTATAGACACAAGTCACCAAGCCAAACTATTTTTTTTTTTTTTTTGTAGAGACAGGGTCTCCCTATGTGAACAAGGTTGGTCTCGAACTTTTGGCCTCAAGTGATCCGCTCACCTTGGTCTCCTAAATTGTTGGCACTACAGGTGGCAGCCACTGTGCCAGGCCAAGATCTCTTTACATACTAAGGATATTAATATTTTTATGGTGTATTTGTTCCACATGATTTCAGACTGCTAGATTTTTAAATCTTGTCTCCAATGTTTATGCAATCAAATCTATCATTCAGTAGTTTAACAAATATTTATTGAGAGCCTGGTAGGTGCCTAGCACTGTGGTAAGTTTAATGAAAACAAAGATACAGTCCCTGCCCTGAAGTAGTCCATAGTCTAGTGCAATGACTGAAATATGCCAAGGCCAACAAGGAGGACTTTACTCCTTCTGAGGATTCAGAGACAACTTCTCAGCAGTGACTCCTGCACTAAGTGTTAAAAAGGATATGTGGAGGCGATGCTGACAAAGACTGATTTTTTTTTTTTTTTACCCAGGTAGCAACAACATGGATTTTGGGTTTATATTATTCGGCTGTACATGCATGCTTTATACACATTGTATGTGTGTTATACTTTGCTTAAATGCAGGTTAGAGGGGGAAAAAGAGGAATCAAAATTAACTGAAGGGCAGAAGCAATTCAAACCACAAAGGCAATATGAGCTGACCACAGAATTTTGTGCAAAAGCATAAAATCAAGTGCTTTTGCTGATGGAAAGGCAACATTTCACACATACAAAAGCCAATATGTAAAGCCTCTGCATCTCCTTTTTAAAAAATTACTTCAAGACATGCCAACTGATAGAGGTGAATAAAAATGTAAAAATCAAGGAAAAGCAAGTTGTTTTCTAAGCAGGCCTGGGTCCCATCACTGCTGTAGGGGAGGGGCCAGGCTGACGTTTACACAGAGGTCTCTGTCTTTCCTTTCCCCTGCTCTGGGATCTGGCTGTGGCCAAAAGAACAAGTAGGAGTGAGTGAATATTAAAAACACAGTTGTCTGAAAAATGATAAATTCTGTCACCAAACTGAGTTTGATTAAAAAATTGTTCATAAAGAAGATATAAAATGTCATATAAATAAAGTACAGTCAGCCCTCTGTATCTGTGGGTTCCACATCAGTGGATTCAGCCAACCCTGGATTTACAATATTTTTAAAAATAGAAAATAGACGTGTAGCTTATATGCAAGTGCTATGCCATTTTATATAAGGGACTTGAGCATCCTTGGTTTTTAGTATTCATAGGGGATCATGGAACCAGTCCCCCTCAAATACAGAAGTATGACTGTATTAAAGATGTTTGGATCTAAAATCACAGATAATCTTATCAAAGACTGAAAAGTTGATGAAGAAGATAGGAGAAAGTGTGTTAAAATTATTGTGTTACGTACTGGTAGGAGTGAGCATTAAAAATAGAATTGTCAGCTGGGCTCAGTGGCTCAGCCTATAATCCCGCACCTTTGGGAGGCTGAGGTGAGTGGATTGCCTGAGCCCGCGGGTTCGAGACCTGCCTGGGCAGCGAGACCTCATCGCTACATAAATCAAAAAAAAAAAAAA